GGACGTGAGGAGAGAGAAGTCGACTGGGGCCAAATTTTACAAAGTTTTGAATGCAGTGGGGGAATCAAGGGGCTTTTAAAGCAGTGGCATAATAAGATTCAGTATAACTTGCATTCCGGGCACTGTCTTCTGTAGATGCTTAATAACATGGCTCCGCTCTCTCAAACCTTGGTATGTACTTTCACAGTAGCTCCCAAAGAAGATTTTGTGAAGAGCAAGAAGTACAAGGAACCAGAAGTGGGGTTGGAAATCTGTGATTAGGGCTCCCTGCCTCTTTGGATCTTCGGGTAACTTTCCAAGTCTGCTTCCCGGAGGAGCCTGGCTTGTCGCTTTCTCTCGATCATCTGTGGTTTCCCTCCCTAACACCACTCTTTCCCAGTGTCCTCTCCAACACAACATGCACACTCAGTCTTTTCAAGTGCACACAAACTGCCTTGTACACATTAAAGTACACAGTCTCATATTACCCAATGCAGCTACGCATTGAGCAGGCTGTTAGTCATTCATGACCATCCCCCCTTTCCTCATTCATGATCCTCCCTTATACTTCAGATCTCACGCTTATGGTGGAAGTTATTTTTCTTAACACGCTTGAATCTTGTGTATCATTTTATAAAACAACCATGGGAAGTGGATATATTAATTACTGTCACTATTTTACAGATGAGAAAATTGAAGTCCAGCCAATAAGCAACTTGCTTAAGGTCCTACTATTATTAAGATAAAACTTAAGACCAGAATCTAAAATCTTAGCTTTAAATTACCAGGCTATTCCCCAAATATTCCTTGCGGGGCCCTTCAGTCCGCAGGCAGATGCTCTATCCACTGAGCCAAACCGTCGAGGGCTCCCTTGCTTTTAAATGCCATGTGCTTGAAAGCTGGAGCTTATACTCTGAATAGCTATGAGAACCACAAAAGGAAGAAAAAAAGTCCAACTTGGCCACTAAACTAAAAAGAAAAAAGGCTGGTCTTGATCCTTTCGGCCAGGCTCACCTGTGTTCACAGTGTTGGCCTGGAATTGCTGCTAATTCATTCATGCCAGGCAGATGATACTGGATAAAGACAACTGCTCCTATTTCACACTTCCCTTGAGACAATGGAAAGAATGACACATACCTTCACCAGTTGAACTCCTGCTTGGGGATGAGCTTCCTTCCACCTCTGAAACTGGTCTGACAGTGGTACCATAAAAGCTGTGGGGCGCTTCCTCACCCCTTTAAATGGAAGGTGAAGAGGATAGGTATACTCAGCACCAGCATCCTTCCAGCCTCTTGGCTTCAGGTGTCATAAAAGGCTAAAGAAAAGAAGTGCTAGAAAGAGGATGTTGGGAGATTCAAACTGAACTCTTATGGGAAAATTTTAATCTTGTCCCGGGGGAAAGTTTAGCATATGCAATTGAATAATTTTAACATTCAGAGCTACCTAAATGGATTCATTTACCAAGAGGTAATTTCATGCATTAACTGCAATCCATGAGTATATTTGATGTATGTTATTGACATCGCAATATTAAAGAGAACATTCTATTAGAAGGTAATCCTTAAATATTTCCTATAAATTTTGCTTTAACATAATTACCTAGAAGAGAAAATAGATTTTTGGGGTAAACTTTTTCAAACTTATTTTACACCACTACTTGATCATTCCTTTCTAGTGCTAATTTCCTTCTGCTTTGTAGTCTGTTTTCCTGTCTTCCACCTGTCAACCTCACAGACTTTCATATGCCTATTGCCATAATCACACTTTAATTTCTGGTCCTGTCCACCTTCTCTTGCCAGGCTCATTTGCTGACTCTCTTCCCTGAGCATGGTTATATTTGAATAGGGAACTTCATTGGGTGGATAGCCATTAGCTCTTGACATTTTGTGCCTCTGAATAAGATGACCTTTTTATTCACTTGCGCATTTTAATAACAAGGTACCATATCACTCTGAAAGGTAAACACGTTAGTAAATCTGTAGACTGATTTTCATGCCTCAGAACCTCAAATCAGTTCACACCAAAGAACTTAATCACTGCGATCTTGGCAGGGTGATTTTTAATTTTTTAAAAAAATCATGAACATTCTCTATTAGGGATGAGGCAGGAAGCTATACATCTCCCCCTTGTGGTTCATGAGTGTGTTTGCCTTTTGCATATCCAATTACTTCCAGTTTCCATCAGTCCCAATAAAATGCTGCTAAGATAATCTCCCTAACCCACAACTCTGCTATCTCTCTCCTGCTCAAACTTCCAGCGGCTCCCTATCACCTACATGATAAAATCCAAACTCTTTGGTATGGTCCACCTGAAATTCCTATAGGAAACTCTCTGCTTTTTGAAACCCTCTACATTCTTCAAGACCCAAATCCCTCTTTTGCAATCCCCCATCTGCCAGAAGTCTCTCCATTTGGTGGTCTAAAACCACAAGCTTCCAGTAATTATAGGCATTTGTGCTCATTTCATCTCTCAGATTCTATTGTGAATCTCTGGAGACTAGGACAATGTCTTTTTCATCTTCCCGTTGTCCGCACGGTTCCTTGCACAGAGATGGCACTCAACAAATGTCTATAGAATTGAATAAAAGAGATACAGTGGTTAGTAATGTTAAATGTCACCATTAAGCTTTAAAAATAGAGGATGCATTTAAAAATCAATCAAGAAAGAGAATTGTTTAGACCAGCCTTGTGTAGTACAAATATAATTTAAGCTACATTTGTAATTTTAAATTTTCTGGTAGCCAGATTAAAAAAAGAAACAGGTGAAATTGATTTTAATAATTAGCCCAATTATTTCAATATCAATATAAAAATTACTAATGAAATATTTTACTTTTTTTCATACTAAGTTTTCTAAATCTAGAGTCGAAGATGTACTTACAAGTCATTTCAGTTCATATTTGTCACATTAAAAGTCCTTTATAGCCACATGTGGCAATGAGCCACTGTATTAAAAAGAAGTTGAGCCCAGCCCTGGCTAGTGTGGCTCAGTTGGTTGGAGTGTGGACCCACATACTGAAAGGTTTTGGATTCAATTCCTGGTCTGGGTACATACCTAGGTTGCAGGTTCAGTCCCTAGTTGGGTTAAGTACGGAAGGCAACCACTCAATGTTCTGATGCTTCTCTCTTTCATCTTTCCCTCTCTCTAAAGTCAATAAACATATCCTCGGTTGAGCCCAGGGTCAGGACTGTGTCCTAATCCTGGCAGATTACTGACTAGTTTTGTTACCATAGACAAGACCCTTAACCACTTACTTTCTTGGTTTCCTTATCTGAAAAGGGAAGATGACTTTTCTCACTGTCAACAACAGTTCTCAGTTTGAGTGTGGAGGAGAGGCTTTATTCCTGTGCACAATTTGCAACCAGGAAAACACAGTCTCTGATGAAAAACAAAAGTGTGCTCCACTGAGGCTAAGGGGAGGCCACCTTTTATAGAGAAACTCCCTGCCCTGTTTCCTGATTGGTCCATTTTTATGCAAGCGAGAAATCCAGAAGCACGGTTCTGAATGGTCCAAATGCACTATTCTGATTGGTTGGAACTCTGCATTCTGATTGGTCTCGTTAGAGAACAGCTCTGATTGGCCAACATAGATGCAAATGAGTATATAGCTCTAAAGTTCCCATTGGTGCGGGCAGGTCTCGCTGCATGGTTGGAACTCCCTCATAGGAGTTGACTCAGGTGGCTGGAGCACACAGTGCAGGAAGCTGACAGCTCAGTTCCCTGACTTTTCCCTGAACGGCAGTGTGTGTGAGAGGCCTGTCAGCAATGGCTGCGAGACTCTAAGTATGAATTTGGGCCCAGTTAACCATGCGGAGTCCTTCTTGGCAGATGTATTTCTTCTGGGGGTTCACATTACTAATCTTACAGGGTCTAAAAGCATAAAATTAGAAAGTGAAATGTTGAAAATGTACACAAATGGAAGAAGGCATAATTATTCCAAGAATAGAGTGAACTCGGATGCACTAGTTCCTGCAGTACTTCTTAGCACACCTGCGACTTTTAGTAACTGTTGCAGATCCCTAAATACCAAAGGTTACTATTTCAACACTCCATTGGATATCCAGTTCCCATATTAGCAAGCCCCGTTAAACTGCTTGCTTTAAAAAGGTTATTAAAAAAGAACCAGGGCAGCAATCACAAGCATTTTGAGCTGCACAGAATTGGGAAATGAGGCAGAGATCACTGACCTGGCCATTTTCTATTTATATAGTGTTTGCCTGCCACTGAGGTGCTTCTGTGACACACAGAGGACTCCAGGAATGTCATTTACTATTAACATTTTACATGTTCTTTTTAGGAGAGTCTCTGCAAAGCTTTATTTATTTTTAAATTCTTTATTGATTAAGTTATTACATATGTGTCCTTATCCCCACATTCACCTCCTTATCCCCCCCCCCCACTCATGCCCTCCTCCCACCCCACCTCCTTGTCTGTGTCTATTGGTTAGACTTATATGCATGCATATAAGTCCTTTGGTTGATCTCTCCCCCTTACCCCACCCTCCCCTACCTTCCCTTTGAGGTTTGACGGTCTGATCGTTGTTTTTCTGTCTCTGGATCTGTTTTTGTTCATCAGATTATGTTGTTCATTTCTGCAAAGCTTTGAGTGCCTCTTCCCAAACACTTCAGTTATTGCTTGTTCATCTGCCGAGATCTGATCTATCATTCTCACTGCCCTAAGAAATGGTTAAGGAAAAATACTTAAATTATAATTTCAGCTTTATATATGGAGTAAACCAAGGCAGCTGAAAGGTTGAAAGTAAGCAGAACGTGAGAAACAATTACTTTTTTTGTGTGTTGTTAACTGGCAGCCTAGACTCAGGAAGGCGCCTATTGGAACTTGGGTCGGCCCAAGATCCCTTTCCCCTTCCCGCCACTTGGCGCTCGTTCTCGCGCCGCTTCAGAAGGCCGAGCGGTTGCTCTCGGTTGTTGCGTAAGAGACCCCGCCGTGCCCTGACAACAGTTGCTAAGGGGCGGGGACTTCGACTCCGTTCCCTGACTAAATCCTCCAGGGGCGAGGACTTAGGGCGCATGCGGCAATCTCTCAGCTCTCGCGAGGTTTAGCCTTCCCGGAAGTACTGGAGCACCTTCCCTGTTAGCGGCGTCGCTATGTGCGGGGACTGTGTGGAGAAGGAATATCCCAATCGGGTGAGCGAGTGAGCGCCGAGAGCTTCCCGCTCCTTCGGCCCGAGCCCGGCCCCTGGGGCTTCTCATGCCGGCGGCTGGCCGTCCCCGTGAGGCCGGGCGCGGGGCGGGCTCGGCGGCTCTGCTGTTCCCGTGCCGGGCACTTGACGGCTGTGGCGGCCCTTCCCTCCGTCCCCGCCCTGTGGGTGACATCAGCCGTCACCCCGCTTCTCTTTAGCTGCAGGGGACAGCAAAGGACACCCCACCGCCCTCAACCCAGTCGGCAGCAGACACCCCGTCCCTCCCCTGGTCTCGCCCGCAGGCTTCATGGGATGAAGTTCCATTCTTACAGAATTCTAGTTCTGGAAGGGGCCTCTGAGGTCATCTCTTCCCACCCCACTTTGTAGATGAGAAAACACATGCCCCGGAAAGGGGAAGCCACTTGCCCAGGTTCATGTTGTAGTGAGTATGAGAGCCAAGACTAGAATTTAGGTTTCACGGCTGTTAACCTTGTAAATCTCTGTTCCTCTCACGCTCAGGGGCGTGCAGACTCGTTTACTCTCATTCCACATTCATGGTGTACGTACTGAACTTCTGTGTGTGCGTGGCCAGATTACAGGCGGGTAGCGGAGAAGGAATAAGAGGCAGCCTCATTGCAGCCTATGTGATTAACAAGAATTGAGTAGTCCCGTCCATAAATGCTGTTCAAGTTTAGAGAAAGGAGAGAGCAATAGGGGATTACATTGCTATCCTCCCCCCTCCCCCCAAAGGACTTAAGTTGGGACTTGAAAGTTCGTTGTGACTAGGGTAGAAAAGAAGGAAGGGGGAAATAGCAAAACAAGGATTCTTGTATTGGGTGAGAGGTAGGAAATCTCTATAGTTTCTTCAGTCTCTTAATATTTTGAGTAATATTAATTCTTTTTATATAACAACATGGAAACTCATATGGGACAACCCCTTTGAACAGAGGTTTAGCGTTGTCAAGTAAAGCTAAAGATGTGCCTACTGAATGACCCAGCAGTTGCCATCCTACAGAAACAAAGGCATGTGCGCATGGTCCTGGACTTGTATAAGATGTGGGTAACAGCATTGTTTGTAGGAGTAGCCGGGCAAAGGGCGGTGGAGTCATAGGATGGAACACGGTGAGTGAGCAGTGAAAGTGAACCAATTAGAGCAGTGGTTCTCAATGAGGAGTAATTTTCCCTCCCAACTGACATTTGGCAATATCTGGAGACATTTTTGGTTGTCACATCTGGGAGTACTACTGACACCTAATAGGTAGAGGCATTATGGTGTACATTTACGTTTCACATACTTTTCTGTACCGTATTCTATTTCATATATACTTCTAAAGTTTAAAAAGAGACTTTTATGAATCCAATAATGAACACTGCACGTTACAGAGACCATGAGGGAGATACATTAAAGAGATTAGGTTGGATTCTTAAGAGTTGAGCTGAAGACTTAAAAATTATATTGAGACTTCAAAGACTTAAAAATTATTTTGAGAAGTTTAGATTTTATACTTTAGGCATTGGACAACCATCAGACAAAATTGAACAGGGACATTCTTCTGAAATCTGTTGCTTAGGAAAAGGAATCTTATAGCTGTATATTGAAATAATGGGATGGGGAAAATGTAAAAGGAGAGTCCCATAAAACATTTGGGGAGCCATGACAACAGTAGTGTAGGCATGAAATAATGAAGACCGCATTTCAAAGAAAGCATTAACAGGACTCAACCAATTTAATGTAGGAGGGGAGAAGGAAAGAGCTATAGATGATCTCAGGGTTTTCAATCTAGGCAACCGGGAAAATTGGAATTATGATTATCAAAATTGAGGAGCAAATGGTCAGATTATTTTAATCATGTCTTATTCAAGGTTGAGAATGTAAAATCCAAGCAATCAAGTGAAAATATAAAGATTGCAGTTTGGGTGCAAGATTCAAACAGATGAGTCAGCCAAATTTGTCAAATGGAAAAGATTTGTTCTCTTAAAGAAAGACTGTATAGAATCAAAGATTGAGCTTCAAGGAATAAATTAACTTAGAGAGTGAAAATAGAATACAGTAGAGGAAGAAGAGCGGAAAAAGAATTGAGGTAATTGGAAAACTTAGGAAAGTGCCTTTCATAAGCACTTTTCTCCAATTTTATTGTGCTCCAAAATAATTAAAGGGTTGTCATGAGGAAGAATTAAACTTTTCTTTGGAATTTCAGAAGGCAGAATTAGAAATAATTAGTGGGTGGGTGTTAAGGGATCGTAGGCTTTGAATCAGAATAAAGAACTTGAACAGATTTTTAAAATGGAATAGGTAACCTTTAGAACAGGGGTTCTCAACCTGTGGGTCGCGACCACTTTGGCAGTCGAATGACCCTTTCACAGGGGTTGCCTAAGACCATCCTGCATATCAGATATTTACATTACGATTCATAACAGTAGCAACATTACAGTTAGGAAGTAGCAACGAAAATAATTTTATGGTTGGGTCACAACATGAACTGTATTTAAAGGGCAGAAGGTTGAGAACCACTGCCTTAGAAGAATTGAACTCTCTTCCTCATGTTCAGTAAGTCTAATTGACCATTGGAAATCTCAAGCATCTTTCCTTGAGATTTTATTGAGTCATAGATATTTTTAAGGGCAGTAAGAGCAGAGCCACTTTGCTTGAGCTTAGCAAGGGAAAGAATAATAAGATGGTGGTAATATGTATAGTCAAAAAATTTGGCAGAAAAAAATAATGGATTAGCATATTGGAAGTTCTAAGTGTAGAATGAGTAGATAATAAATATCTAATTATTTATCTTTGTTTTCATAAAATTTTCTGGAGTTTTGTGATAGGTGTTTTTCGTAGACTAGAGATACATGGTAATGAATTTTTAACAGCTCTGGCCTACTTGCTTGTGATGTTACACTGAGAACTTGAACTTTCCGATTTGATTTATACTGTCAGTGTTTAGAGTTTACATTCTGCATACTTACAAGGTCAGATTACATGGTTTAGCCACTTTGTATACAAGGTGCCCGTATTTATGGGTGCAGTCCTGTTCAGAGTCCTATTTACTTGAAATTGGTATTTAGAGCTTTATTCTCTTAAGACTGTTTCTAATTCCTTAATTTCTTGGAGTCCTTAACAGTCAGATTTTATAGATTCAAGGCAGTCCTGATTTAAATCCAATCAGGACTACCTGATTTTAAAGACTACACTAATCAAAAGAGTGTGATAGTAGTGCATAGATAGACATATAAATCAAGGGAACAGAATAGTCAAAAGTAGACCCGCATATGTGTAGTCATTTGAGTTTTCCGACAAGGTGCCAATGTTACTCAATGTGGAAAGGATAGTCTTTTTAATAAATGTTGCTGGAACAACTGAATATTCATAAGGAAATAAATGAAACTTGATTATTCATATCATATATAAAAATTATTTCAATAGGATTGTAAACCTAAACCAGCAAGCTAAAACTATAGCATTTCTAGAAGAAAACATAGGAGAAAATCTTTGCAATCTTGGGTAAACAAATATGTCTTAGAAGACAAGCACAAAAATAAGGGAAGAAACAGTTTGATAAATTGGACTTCAAAAAATCAAAACTGCTCTTCAAAAGACACCATAAAAATGGCAAGCCAATGACAGGGAGAAAATATTTGTAATATGTGTCTGAGAAAGGATTTGTATCTAAGAGATATAAAGAAATCTTATAGCTCAATAGCTTATAACTCAATAAGATAAACAACCTAACTTTAAAAAAATGGGCCTGCCCTGACCTGTTGACTGAAGGGTTCCAGGTTCGATTCCAGTTAAGGGCATGTACCTTGGTTGTGGGCACATCCCCAGTAGGGGGTGTTCAGGAGGCAGCTGATCGATGTTTCTCTCTCATTGATGTTTCTAACTCTCTATCCCTCTCCTTCTCCCTTTCTGTAAAAAAATCAATAAAAAAAATATATATTTTTATGAATAGACACCATGAAAAGATTCTCATCTTCATTATTCACTAGAGGCCTGGTGCATGAAATTCTTGCACAGGTAGGGTCCCTAGGTCTGGCCAGCGATCAGGGCTGATCTGTGGGGCAACCGGCGGGGCCATTCCCCCCCACTCCCCCTACTGGCACCCGCCTTGGCTGACCTAGGACCTGTGGGCTGGGGACAGCTCCTGCATTGAGCGTCTTCCCCTTGGTGGTCAGTGCACATCATAGCAACCAGTTGTTTTGCTGTTCGGTTGATAGGCATATTAGGCTTTTATTATATAGGATAAGAGAAATGCTAATTAAAGCTACAATGAGATAACACTTTACATCATTAGAATGGCTAAAATTAAATATAAAAATTTTACAATACCTAGTGTTGGTGAGAAGGTGGAGCAACTGGAACTCACACATTGCTGGTGGAAATAGAAAATGGAAAACCTGGAAACCATGTGGCAGTTTATTATAATGTTTATATATATATTATATTCTTACTGTATGATTTGATTCAGCAATTCCACTTCTAGTGACTTACCCAAGAGAAAGGTGTATGTCCACACAAGACATATATGAATCTTCATTGCTGCTCTATTCATAATAGCCAAAACCTAAAAAGAGCCCAAATGTCTGTCAACAGATAAATCCATGCAATGGTATACTACTTGGCAATAAAAAGCAGCAAACTACCAATCCATATAACAACAGAGGTGATTAACATGGATATTATGCTGAGCACAAGAATCTGAATGCCAATGAGTATACTACATGATTTTGTTTATATAAAATTTCAGGAGAGGCATAATAATCTCTAGAGATAGAAATCAGATCAGTGGGTGCCTGAGATGAGAGAGGTTAGAGATAAACTGCAAAGCATAAAGGAACTTCCTGGGAAGGCAGACATTTTTATATCTTGATTGGTGTAGTGTTTGCATTGGCATGCATGTTTATTAAAAGTTATTTACCAATACTGTTACAATATGCAGATTTTATTGTATGTAAGTTAGAGTTGTGTGTTTTTAAAAAAATATTTTTATTGATTTCAGAGAGGAAGAGAAAGATAGAAACAGCAATGATGAGAGAGAATCATTGATTGGCTGCCTCCTGCATGCCCCTACTGGGGATCCAGCCCGCAACCCGTAACAGGTCATGTGCCCTGACCATGCCCTGAGCCGTAATTGAACCATGACCCTCTGGTTCATAGGTCTATACTCAACCACTGAGTCATGCCGGCTTGTTTTTTTAATCAAAGCAAAACACTTGTTCTTAATAGCTGGAAATTTATACTTTAATCTCAAGGCTTTTCCCTTCTTTAGTAGGTGAGTCCATGTGCCTATGATTTAATGTCTTCAAACTACATAGTTAGCTTGATTTCCCCCCATCAGGGTTAATCTCTTCCTTAATGCATAGCACCGAGGAGCCACTCATAAAGAAGAGGTTAATTGTCCAGGGAATCCAGGATAGCTTCGCTGTGACATCACTTCACTGGGCCTTAATTCCCTGATCCTTCATACGCTCTTTGAGAGAAGAAACACGTGACTCATCCTTAACTTCTCCACTATGGTATGCACAGTATCAGGCATGCAGCTACATTGGAGAAATGTTTATTTGAATGTTTTTTAGTCACATTAACTATTAAAAATACTCTTAAGTTTGCTGGTCAGAAATGAGATTGAAGTAGGTTATTTATGAAATGACTCTTAGTTGTGAACAATTATTAGTAAGCCTTGAACAGAGACTTCCCCTGAGCCAGGAGCATAAATTGTTAGTTTCTTGGTGATGAAGCAGACCTCTTTCTCTTTGAATTGCCATGGTGTTAGTCTGATGAATTGCAGAGTGTATCTCCTCTGCCTAAATCACATATATTCTTTAGGACTGACCTCTATAGAGCTAAGAGTCTATTTTGTTTGTTTATGTTACGGTATTTTTAAGGCTTCAGAAAATGGTGTTTCAACAATCAACTGAGCATTGCAGTGTATAAGATCATTTTTCTTATTGGCTCAGTGTTTCCATTTTGATTGAATTTTAATTCTAGTTTTATGATAAGATACCTCATTTAATATTGTTTGCTATTATGTTTCTTTACTTTTTTCTTTTCATATTTTATATTATTAAAGCTTCATTAATTGTTTCTGAATATCCATTTGCATTTATTTCTCTTAAACATAGTTGCATATTTCAGAGACTTACAGCTCTAACACCATTTCAGTTTTATTTACCATGAATAGCACATCTAGAGGAAAAAATAATAATTTCAAAAATTAATTGGTTTTGCCTTCAAGCAAGTAAATCTTGGTGCTTTTTTTTTTTTTGCCTTTAGAGATTTTAAATCTATTAATCATTTTCACCAAGGATTTTGAAATATAAGAAAATTAAATTGCTATTTTTATTATTTTAGGGTAACATTTGCCTGGAGAATGGATCTTTCTTGCTGAACTTTACTGGCTGTGCAGTGTGTGGTAAGCGGGATTTTATGCTGATCACAAACAAATCCTTGAAAGAGGAAGATGGAGAAGAAATAGTTACCTATGATCGTAAGTAGACCTTTTTTTTGTTTGTTTTGTTAATCCTCATCTGAGGATATTTTTCCATCGATTTTCTATTGGTTGCCTCCTGTACCTGCCCCCACTGTGGCCGGGGATTGAACCTACAACCCGGGTACATGCCCTTGACTGGGAATAGAACCCGTGACCCTTTGGTGCAAAGGCCGGCGCTCTAACCACTTAGCAACACAGGCCAGGGCAGTGGCCCTTTCTTTTCACGCAAGTCTGTTAGCAGGTATTGGCTTTTGGAAGTTGGTATGTTGTGTGAAGTATGATGAGGCATATTTTAATATATTACAACAAATAATTACTAGTTAGTTAGGTTTTTAAGAGAAAATTATAAGTAGCACCTCATTTATCTAGCATCAGATATTCTACTTAAATGACTTTTGGAGATTATTGAAGCTTATGATTCAGGCACCATTTTTGTTTGTTTATTTTTAAAGCCTTTATGCCTTCTGAAACAAGGGTCATAACCTTAGGGTCATCCATGTGTTCATTTTCCACTATATGTAGTATAATACAGTGATGTCCTCCTATAGCTATTAAAGTGTTTAGGGTTGCTTGCTTCTGTTTTACACTTTATCTTAGCCAAAAGGCCGAGAAGCCATGTTTGCCCCTATTTTAAATGTCTCTGAGTTCTATGGTCCTGTTTCTCCTTTTAAAGAAAGCTTTTTTTGGTCTCCTATCTCACTATCAGTCTTCTATGTCTTTTTTTTTTTTTTAAACTTAGGAGCCACGCTTTTTTAAAAAAAACATGTTTTTATTAATTGTAGAGAGAGAGAGGAAAGGGGACTGGGAGAGAGAGAGAAACATTGATTTGAGAGAAACATCTATCTGTTGCCTCCCACCAGGGGTCAAACCCACAACCTGGGCATGTGTCCTTACCAAAATTGAACCAGTGATCTTTTGGTGCATGGGACGAATCTCAGACAACTGAGCCACACAGGCCAGGGCCAGTCTGTTGTTTCTTTTGCTGCTGTAAATATGCTCCCTGTATATGCTGCTCCTCATCCTCAATAATGGGAAACCAAACAAACAAACTATGGATAATAAAAATAAATCAATTCTGAGATTGGCTCTACAAAGTTCTGTGAATAAATTAAGTATATGTACACTTTAGTGCCCAGATATGTTAGCAAGTAGTTACATTGTTCAGATCTCCTTTTGGCTTGTGTCCTAGTTCTTTGATATGTTCTGAATATATAAGGAATAAATGTACAACTAATGATATTTTGCAAGAGGGGTATAAAAACAGTAAGCCTTTAGAATAGAGTCAGACTATCAAAAAAATTTTTCTAAATTAGAAGAATCTTTTTCTTTCTTATAGATATAATGTTTTAAACTCAATTTCCTTTCAGGTAGTAAGTCATAGTGGTTAAGAGCAAGGGTTCTGGAGCCAGAATGCTTGGTGTTGAGTTCTGTTTCCAATACTTGCTAACTCAGTAGTCTTCCTAGTTATATAACTACAGTATGCGTTTGTTTCCTTATCCCTAAAAATTGTATCTACCTCTTTGAGTTTTTGAGAAGATTAAATGGATAAACGGATACAACATATTTAAAACATCTGGCACACTGTAAACACTCAATAAATCATAGTTATTATTATCATATTGTTTTGTTCTGTTAATCCTCAGCTGAGGATATTTTTTCCATTGATTTTTTTAGAGAGAGTGGGAAGGAGGAGAGAGAGAGAAACATTTACGTAAGAGAGACACATTGATTGGTTACCCCCCGCTTGAGCCCTGGCCAGGACCAGGGATCAAGTCTGCAACCGAGGTACATGCCCTTGACCAGAATCAAAACCAGGACCCTTCAGTCCATGGGCCCATGCTCTATCTACCGAGCCAAACTGGCTAGGGCTATCATATTGTTTTCACTAGAGTATTTTTTTTATCGCTAGATTTATTTTAATGTCTAGCATTAGTTGTTTATTTATGATTGGTTGTCATAGCACAATTTCTATCATTCCAGAGAATAAAAGCTTTTATATAGTTAGATAGGTCTAAATGGTTTAAAAAGCAGCCTTACATATCTGTTTACTGATTACCTTAGAGAGCATTCAATGGGAATTAATATGTGCACATTGAGTGTCTGAACTTAGGCTCTTAATTATGTAGTGTTGCTATGTCTCGAATTCTGGATTTCTTTTCAAGGTAGATGTTTTAAAGCAATACCATTGCTGAGAATAGAAATTCTACTGCCTTAAGACACCTTCCAGGACTTATTTAATATTTAAGTCTCTCTCTGTTTTGGCAGATCTATGTCAGAATTGTCATCACGTAGTAGCCAGACATGAATATACATTCAGTATCATGGATGAATTTCAGGTAAATGTATAACTATGGGTATGTTATTGGTGGGGGAAGATAAAAGAATCTTGAAAATCTGGATATAGTTTTCATAAATGAAGTACTAGCGAATATTAGAAGAGACCATCCCTCTCTTGTACCTGTGTAGCTTGAGAGAGAAACTTTAGATGTGGGTGGATCTGCTCAAACCTGTCTTCACAAGAATCAGAAATCAGAGTGTGTATTTTACAGATGATTTCTCAGTCCTGTCATTTTATGAAGAACATTCCTATGAGGTTACTATTGTGTATCTTTTTTCTATGTAGTTATATGATTGCACAGTTTTTGGCTTTGAGTGTTGGCCCACCCACTGCCATCATACTTGCTGGGCATGGAAATTGATAAGGAGGTTTTCCCTAATAGGCATGTAGAGTTGAGCAATTCTGTAGTCTCCATTGCAGTAAGACATTTTAATATTATTTGGTAGGTAAAATAACAAAATGGACGTACCAAGGTTGGAGGAGAGACGTTGAACCACTCTTAGGACAGAGAATAGGGATTTACAGAGAATAAGGCTTAGTCCTTAGACAATTGTCAGAGCATGCGAAGAATGCAACAGAATTCTACGGGTTCGTGTAGGCCTGAAGTAGGTCTAAAGGTCAGGAAGGAAAGCTGGACCGTGCAGGAGAGCCAAGGGCACACTTTAACCGTGAGGACACGCTGCAGCCTGCGTCTGTCCCTCACTGTCTCCATTTTCAAGCCTTCAATTTGAGTTACTTATTTAGTGTGAACTAAATGTTCATCCACAGGATATAAGTATTAGGTTAGCGCTTTTAACAGGCCAAGGAATTTTTTTAAATCCTCCAGATTTGGGTAATAGTATAATTAGGAAAAAAATAAAAAATCTTTAATAATAGAATATTATAGAATAGTATAACCACTCGCATTCTTATTTTAGTGTGCAAGAAAACACTTAGTCACCTGTCATAATATGGTCTAATATATTATGCTTATAAATAAATAGCATCTTGACTGCATCTCCTCAATATCCAAAAATTATACCTCAAAAAGTATTTATAGCCCTAGCTGGTTTGGCTCAATGGATAGAGCGGCGGCCTGCAGACTGAGGGGTCCTGAGGGATTCCAGCCAAGGGCACATGCCTGGGTTGCGGGCTCGATCCCCAGTGGGGGGGCGTGCAGGAGGCAGCCAATCAATGATTCTCTCTCATCATTGATGTTTCTCTCTCCCCCGCTCCTTTCCTCTCTAAAATCAATAAAATATATTTAAAAAAATATTTATATGATATATGTAACCGAGGCCGAAATCAAGATTTCAGTGAATGAGCAGTGGCCAGATAGGGGAACAAGCATGCCATGAGCTTAAAGGAGCAGCTCCATCCTTTCATGGGAGGAAAGGAATGCTTGTAGCTATTTTCCAGAAGCTTCTGAAGGACCTGAGAGCTTTTTAGAGTTCCTAAATGGATATTGAGATTGCTTGTTCATGCCCTAATTGAGCCATTGTATATTGCTGCCACGAGACCAAACTCAGGCTGATTTTCCTTTATGACTAAATGCAGCCATGTTCAAAGCTGCCCTAGAAATTACTCTGTGAAAGAAGGATGGTTTACTGTCACAATGCCCAGATAGTGTGAAGTTCTCTTGGAAAAAAATCTCTTAGACTGGACTCTTGATCTCCAGTGTTCTCTCTCCCAGCATCCACCTTCTCCCTCTCATATGTGAAATTCTGCCATCAGACTACCTCGATGGCCCTTCGTAGCTCACCTTTAGCTACAGTAAATGTCCAGACTCCTCTTTCCAGCGTTCTTGCTGGGCGGTGGCTTCACTTTCCCTAGTTTCCCACTGCTCTCCTCATGTGCACCCCACATAGCACCGACCTTAGACTTCTTCCTGCCCTCCTGTGACAGCGGAGAGCTTCATTTCCTCTGACGCTTACCCCTGCCATTTCTTCAGGAGTCTCCTGTTACCTTCTCTCTTTAGCAAACTCTTTTTTTCCATGGGACTTAACATTGTCTACATTCAATATACTCTGTCCTTTATTTGTTAAAAATAAACTAAACTTTTTATTTTACTTAGCCCCTCTTTGATGCATCCTCTCATCATCTGCCTTCCTTTTGCTTTATTACTTGAATAGGTTTATATCCTGCTTCCCTTATTTCTCTATGTTCCTCTTAACCACTACAAACTGGTTTTCATTTTCACTTTTCTAAAACTCTTCTCTCATAGGTTTCCCAGAATAGTTCTTACCTCTTTTAGTATCTCTTCTGATTCTGGTTTTGTTAACCATTGTTGTCTTTTTAAAGCATTGCTTCACTTAGGTCCATAGTGCTAGACTATTTTATATTTCTTTTAAATCATTTAGCTGCTCATTTGCTTTTTCTCTGGTTTCCTTTCCTGTTTTCCCTCCTTTCCCCCTAAGCTTTGGTATCTGGCTAGGACCTTCTCTATACTCCATCAAATAGTGAGCACACTCCGTCTCATTTAAAACCTATCAGATATCTTCCAAATCTCCTTCTCTAAGCCTAATATCTTAACCTGCCCTCTTTTTTCCTCTATTTCTCTTATTTTTGCTCCATTGCCAAACCTTGTGTCAAGGACAATAGCCACTCAAACCAAATTACTGCAGCAGCCCCCAAACTGTAGTTCTGCACTCTGCCCTCAGTTAATCTTCCTTAAGCATATCACCCTGTCACTCCTCTGCTACTTCATAGGATATGCTGCCCTTTTTCATATCACTGTCCTTATTCGGACTTTTTCCTTGACTGGTCCCTTTCTCTATCTTCAAGCCAACTAAATCTTACCTCTTTAAACTGAGTTTAAATTTTATCCCCTTGCTCTTGACAGTTCAGCCCATACTTCTTTCTCCTTTTCTGAGCACTTCTTGTACCTATAGCAGGCCCTGTAGGTCTTCATTCTCAGCTGCTGTGACTCAGTTTTCTCTTCCCCACCTTATTCAGCCTCATCTTATTCCGGCAGTGGTTCAGGTTTAAAGTGCAATTCCCACCATTGATAATGTATTGTTTTGTTTTAAATGTCTTATAGGAATTTTAAACATAATAAAAAATAGGCAGAATAGAGTATTAACCTCCATTACCCAGCTTTAATTGTACCTCACCATTCCCTTGTCTCCTCACAGGATAATTTTGAAACAAATGCCAAATGTATCACTACTTCTACAAATATGTCAGTATGTATCCCTGTTTATAAAGCAACCACAATGCCATTGTTAAACAAAGAAGATTTTCTGATGGCAAGAATAGAGGGGAAAGTAGAGATAGAAGTACAGAGTTGGTGGAAAATACATTATGAATGATTACAGATATTCTTTATTCTTTATATCACCCTAAACGCCATTAAAATGACTATGTGTTTGCCCCAGGAAACAAGAGGGGACTGTGAGATTGCTTTCTGTTCCTCTTTGGACCAGGGAGGAAGAGGCCTTAGAGCCAGAATTAATATATAGTGATAGAGAAAAGGACTTCTGTGATCTAGCCATGGGACCTCAGAATAAGCCAGAGGATCTGGTCTCACCCAAAGGTGATTCCACCCACTCCACCCTTCCTTCCAAATCTGTGCCCTTTGGCTTTGCCCAGGTGGAGCCTTTGAGGGTCTCCATGAATAACTGGGAGGAATTCTTATTCTCCCAAGTTGGCTAGTTTTGGTAAAAGGTTTCCCAATCCCACCACATTCCTGGCAGCACATGGAGATATGTTTCTGGCACTCCAAGGTAGAATTCTAGACATATTTTCCCACAGAAGTGCTGCTATATATGGTTAGAATCTATAGTGCTTGTACAATATAAATTTAAAAGACTCCCTGGAGTTCCTGGGAATCTGTCGGGTACAACTACTTCTGTGGGAAACTGCTTTTGAATTCCTAACAGTTGACCTACAATGAAATTTGGAATACAGACTGCCTCTAATCAATCTTTACAAATTATACCATATGTTAGGTGTGTGTTTGTTTTTTCTCCCAAATTAGGTTGTAAGTTTTGTACGGTCAGTTTTGTCCTTGCCTTCTTTCATGTCTACCAGTGTTTCTTGCACTAAATAAAAACTTGACAATGGATAGATTGGTTGAAAACTCAGACATTTATCTAGCTTCACAAATAGTCCCATTTGACTTTATTACCTTTTTCGTCTTCATTTCAGTGGGAGGCTGACATCCTACTGGTAATGTCCAATGGGTGAAAGCAGAAGTATTTGAAGGCAGTAAAAGACCTTGGAGAGACTGGATTTTTATTTTATTTTTAATTCATAGGACTTTCATTTGTTTGCTGAGGTCTAGCCTCTATTTATTTCTACAGTGTGTGTGGAGTAGACTTTAAAATTACGTGTAGTCTTTAAGAAACAGTCCACTGCACAGTTAAGCTCCCTGCCGAACTCACTCGAAGGAAATGGAAAGGCAGTTGCCTGATTCTGAGTCTTCGTGCTGTAGCCGTTGTTTATCTCTGTGGCCCTCTCTCTAGTGACTCTCCACTAACTGCCTTGACTGATCAGTTGCCAGACAGCTAGCATCTCAGTGTCAGGTGCAGAAATACGTATCGATTTGACATAGATTTTGTTTTCCTAAAGAAGATAAAGGTTTTTAAGCAAAAGGTTTAAAAGAAATGTTTCTATAGTTTATGCACATATTAAATATTCTAGAAAGGGACCTCTATTAGAACAGGACTTTGCCCTGAGGATTTTTGCTTGAAACAGAATCCCTTCTGTCACTAGTCTGAACATTGGTTAAACCCAAGAAACATAAAACTCTAAATAGATCAAATTCCAGATAACTGACTATCTAAATATGAGTCATGCTTGACGGACTCGTGGATTTAATATAATTTTTTATTTTCTTGGGGTAGGTTAAGTAGCTTTTTGGGCTTAGGAATTTTCTCCCTTGTTTATTCTTTTAAAAATCATTTCTATTGCACATCAGTGCTAAATCTCCTAGAAAGGAACAGCTCTATGACCAGGAATTTGTCCTTAGGGCCCACACTCAAATAGCAGCCCTAACCAAGCCCAATATGTGTGTTTTTTAAGTCCAAGAAATGGCCATGCATTTCCAAGATGGCATTCTTGTATTCATAGTAAATAGAGCATCAGCGTGTATTCAGTTTATATAAACAAAAGGCTATGGGATACACAGAATAAACCTAAGACATTGTTTATAGGTGTTGAAATTGACTTAACTTACAGGAAGAATATCCACGGCGATGTAGAGAACAGCACCTGAGTAAGTCAGGAAGCATCTTCCTCCCTGTCCCTCACAGTAATGATGCACTTTATCTTGTTCTAGGAGTACACCATGCTGTGTTTGTTATGTGGCAAAGCTGAAGATACTATCAGCATTCTCCCTGATGACCCCCGACAAATGACTCTGTTATTCTAAGGACCCTTCTGCAGTGCTGTAGAACTAGGTTGTGTTGGTTACAATACTGCAAACCTGATGGTTTGTCTTAGTTTATAATGGAAATTATTTGCTTATTTGTTTCTGCTTAGACTTACCTATTCTTTGAAAGAAAAGAAGTAATTTGGGGGATTACTGTTCTCTAGAGCTGAGGCTCTTCTGCCAAAGTTCCCAATTCACATTGGTGCAGCCAGAATGAAGCATCTTTGTTAGTGCTATGTGGCTAAAAATAATTAGAATGGGAGAACCTAGTGCCCAGATCTTGGTTCCAGTAAAAGGAAGCAGGGCTCCTTGGAGAAATGACTTACTCTAGGATTAGGGCTATAAATACTCAAGATGAGCCTGGAGCATCTTGTGCCACAAAAAAAAAAAAAAAGAAAGTGCTCAGAAAAAAATCACAATGGTGGGGGATGTCCGAAGGACAGAAGAGCCAAGTGAAGGAGCTCCCAGTAACCAAAGCTGGAACAATTGGAGTAAAAAGTTAAGTAGCATTGGATTATAACCCAAACTATAAAATAAATATTCATGAATCCATACTGACATAAATAAATGATTGAATAAGTAAATATATACATTACAATAGCAAATCTCCCATGCAAAAGATTTTCAAATAATGTATGTAGATATTCCCCACTCCTTAAGTGTGAGTGTGTGTGTTGACTTCCCTCCAGAGGATAGTATTGAAAGGGGACAAACACTAGCCCGGATCAAGGTTAACATCATTGATGAAAGGCCATGTGATAGCATGATGTGATGAGAATGTCACTCTACCTTTGTAGTATCCTCCCCAAAAACCGTAACTCCAGTCTCATCATTAGAAAAACATCAAACAAATCCCAGTTCAGGGACATTCTACAAAATACCTGACCAGTGCTCCTCACAACTGTCAGGTCATCAAAGATAAGGACATCTGAGAAACTGATTTACTCAAAGTAAGTAAGTAAACAACTACTGAATGCAATGTCATATCCTGAATGGGCTCTTACACCAGAAAAAGGACATTTGGGGAAATCTGAATAAAGTGTGGACTTTTGTTAATATAAATAGAATGGTTTCTTTTGCTCCAAAGGAATCTAGACTATCTTAACTTCCATAGTTGAATGAATACTGGGTGTTCTAAACTCTGGCATTTAGGCCCCTTGCCATTTGGTAGCAGCACAACCATTAAGCAAAGCATTACTCTATTTTTTTGTCCCCCTTTTAAAAAATTGGTCTAATAAGAATTGATATTATATATCCTGCACAGTATTATTGAGAGATCCAAATAAATAATGAATGTAAAATGCTCTGGAAAGCATAGAAAGAACTAGATACAAATGAGATGGCTTCAGTTAGTTCTCATTGTGAGACCAAACTTAAAAGGGTTAGGCATTAGAAACGAAGTTGTTTCCTCTTCAGATCTAAGAGACTTAGGCATTCTGGACTAAGGCTTTGCTTATAAGGAAAAAAAGTGAGCAAAGTGATCATTATTGATACCAGGGAAAAGCTTTGTTATATAACGGGGATAATAAAGGCTGAGGTTTCTTGAGTCCTTACTTTGTGGCAAGGCCTTTTTAAAAAGCACTGATTTAATGCTCGTTCACAGCTCCATGAGGTATGTACTATTATTAATCCGGTTTTAGAGCCAAAGAAACTAAGCACCAGAAGTTGAGTAGCTCACTCAGGGCCACACAGCCAGTGGTCACTCCCTCTCAGGAGCGTTCAGTGCACATGCAGTAGAGGGCCTGGCAAGGTCAGGGAGAGTCTGAGAATATCGGTGACCGCCCTCTGAGAAACTAAGGCGTGTCAGACCAAAATTTATGATTTGGAAAAGCTCAGTTAGCTGCTCCTTAGGAATCAGTTGTTTTATTCCTGGAAAATATTTTCCACTTACTGCAAATCTATATCTGACCTGCTGAGGAAATCATTTGGTGAAATGAATCCAGAAAGTAGAGAAAGTGCTTCATTACTTTAAATAGCACTAAGCCCGTTACAGCCTCTGAATCGTCCCTTTTTGGGGTTTGAATGCTTCCAATTTAGTCATTTGGAGCTCAAGAGGACAATTTCACATGCCTCCACTGATATCTTCATCTATTGCAAGATGTCCAATTATTATCTATTTTGAGCTAAATATACTACAAAAATTTAAAACATAAAATCCTATCCATATATTTTATTATTTTACCAACATCATGCTATGTTTTGTGATACTTTCTTTTTCATCTTCTAAAATTTTTCTCTGGATCTAAAAGAATAAAGACCTTTTGAACCCAATTCTACTGAGTCTATTTTTCTGTTTAAATAAAGAGGAACCAGGCAAAAAGCATCAGTCTTTTTTTACCTTCCTATCCTGAGATACAAGAAGGACAAGGCTTCACCTATAGGTGTAATTGGGGGTGTGGGCATGTCCTGACACCTCATTCTTTCTCTGTTTGCCCCATGAGGTACTGATCTGGGTCTGCCAAGTTCAGATCTTGGAGTTCAAAGCTCAGTATGTTTATTGTGTTGATTTAGCTAGCTCTGTCTTTCTCAAGTTGTTCTGGGTTCTCCCAATACTAATTAATGGATACATTATATAGTCTGGGCACAACCAGATATGGTTTGTTACTTGTAAGTTATCACTAAAAATATATATGTTCACTGTTCTTTATTTCAGTGTATCAGCAATCCTTTCCGTCTTATTCTTTTGTGAGCAAGGTTAAGTTATTGACTTAATTTGAGGCTCTCAGCTTTAACATGTGTATTTCTTGGCTGTAAAACAAGTCTCTATTGTGAGACACACTATGGATGGGGAGAAAGGAAATCAAGTACCTGGGTCTAGAATTAGCTTTGCCACATGCTCATGGTGGGAGGTTAGACAAGTCTTATATTCTATCTGTACCTTGGTTTCTTTAATGAAAGAATAGAAATAATCATGCTTCCTTTGTGAAGTTTTTAAATCAAATGATATAAGTGAAAGGTTTTTAGGTTGTACAGTGTGGGGTGGATAGGCAGCTGTCAGTGGTCTTTATGAAGAAACTGAGATAGAAGGAAGCAGTGGTGTCGTGGTTAAGAGTAGGGGCTTTGGAGTCAGGCTGACCTGGGTTTAACTTTCAATTCTGCTACTCTATAGTCCTTTGTCCTTGGCAGGTGTCTTACTCAATTACCATTTATTTATATTGTTGACACTATTACTTTCCTTCTCTTTAAATAGAGATAAAAATTCCTTGCAGGGTCAATATGAGGATTAATTAGCCTAACCCCGTGGTCAGCAAACTGCGGCTCTTTGGCCCCTTTAGTGTGGCTCTTCCACAAAATACCATGTGCGGGGGCGCTCGTACAGTGCGATTCAAACTTCGTGGCCCATGCGCAGAAGTCGGTATTTTGTGGAAGAGCCACACTCAAGGGGCCAAAGAACTGCATGTGGCTCATGAGCCGCGGTTTGCCGAGCCGCAGTTTGCCGACCACTGGCCTAACCTATTTAAAGTACTTAGTGTAGCCCTAGCCAGTGTGGCTCAGTTGAGCATTGTCCTGTGCACCAGGAGGATGTGGGTTCAGCCCTGACCAGTTTGGAGCAGTGGTTAGAGTGTCAACCCTCGGACCAAAGGTTGTGAGTTTGATTCCCTGTCAAGGGCACGTACCTTGGTTGCAGGTTCCCTAGCCCAGTAGGGGCATGTGCAGGAGGCAGCCAGTCGTGTCTTGTTCATGTCAGTGTTTCTCTCTCTCTCTCTGTCTCTCTCTCCCCCTCCTCCCTCCCTTGCATCTCTCTCTAGAAATCAATGGAGAAAATATCCTTGGGTGAGGATAAAAAGAAAAGAAGGTTGTGGGTTCGATTCCTGGTCAGGGTACATACCTAGGTTGCAGGTTCGATCCCCAATTGGTGCACATACAGGTGGCAACAGATCAATGTATCTCTCTCACATCGATGTTTCTCTTCCTCCCTTCCTCCCTCTCTTTAAAAAAAATAAATAAATAAAGTACTCAGTGCAGTATATGAGTATACTAAATGGTAGTTTGGATGATGATTGTGATAGTGATTATAAGAAATCACCAATTAGAGGTTGGCTAGCTTTCTTAAACTAAGGACAAATAGCTATGGGAACATGGTTATGGAAATAATCATCAGTTTCATTTCGTACCTTGATCCTCTGAAATCAGTTATTTGAAGCCAGTGGCTGTATTTTTGGAAGAGCCCTCAGAGAAACGATGATCTCTGTCCCTCTAAATGGAGCAGCATTACCTCAGCACTTGTGGGGAAGCTTGTTGATGAGCCTTCTCCCTGCTTCCTGAGTGCCCCTCTGGAAATTTGATTAAAAGATTTTGTTGATCTAGGAAAATGGGTGATTATATAAAGCTTTGCTTTGTCATTAAGTTTATGACCATAAGTGGATACTATTGAGGATGTACAAGGGCGACGAACAAGATGAGGACTTAAGGAAACAGTTTCTTATTTGATTTTAACAACAGCACAAGTAATGATATAGTAAAACAAAGCACCCTTGTAAAAAACGTTCCTCCAGCCCTGCCGCCCTGTTCCTTCCTGAGCCAAACTGGTCAGGTCCCTTCTGAAGCAAATAGCATTTCCCCTGCACAAAGGAGGGGCCCTCTTCCTAGCATTAGGGTCCTTTCTGACTCTCCCTGCAAAACCACTTATAATTCCCATTCCTTTGGGATCTCTAAATAATTCAACTCGAGCCTCATGGGAAAGACCCAACACATTGTACTGGCATGTCAGGCCCTAAATTGCCTGTAGCATAATGCCGACATCCAGGATAGCTGCCTCTGTTACTAGACCTAACACAGGCTATAACACTATCAAGATGATGAACAAGTCATTCTAGCATCCAACATGAATTCTGTATTTCATTTCAGGGAAGCAATTTGTCTCTGCAGTTATTGCTCTAAAATCAGTGGTTGGTCCTACTCCCTCCCCCCCCCCCCCAACTCCATACCCCAATGTTTGCTTTAAGAGCAGGAATCTTAAAAGGTTTGAGTTTGCAAGTCAAGGGCAACCTTAATTTAGCAGAAGGCCCGGCAGAAGGGTGCCAGGGGATTCCCACTATAAGGCTCAGATTACCCTTTCGAAAGAAAGCACAGTCGATGACATAGTTTTAGTTGAAGCTCAGACCATGGGATCCTTAACCTCTGTTCCACATTTGCTTCTCAGAAGATGCAAGTGCTTAGAAAATAGTCTGGGGAGCCTTGCAGGAAAAGCCTTTCCCCTCAGCACTGGCGTTCTCAAGCAGTGTGTTCAGTCTGGAGAACTGTCCCTTCAGAGCTTCACTAAAGAGAAGTGAAATATCCCATCTAGTGGTCAGAGAAGGAAAGGTGCAATGAGAAGTTTCTAGGAGAGGTTTGTGGGGCGGAGTGACAGGGCAGGGGCCTTTCAGCAGGTCCTTTCCAGAGCATGATCAGGGCTGGCCTTGGCGGTGGCGTGTTTTGGGAGTGTGCCTGGACGAGATGAGGACCCTGGACACCGTCCTCACAATGCCATTGGGCAGAACTCTGCTGTCACAGAGAACAGCTGTCATGTTGGCAGTCTGGGAAGGGAGGCCCTGGCCCATCCCCACCCTTGTGGGAGAAACGAAGCCGATTGTTCACGCCTAAACTTGTTTGTCTTGTGCCTGAACTTGTGAATCTGCGAGGCTGAGAAAGACAAGGGTGCAATGTGAACGTTATAAAGGAGGGAGAGTCAGTCTAGCACAAGATCAGAAACAAGTGCGCTCAGCAAGGTTTCCAGGAAACCGATGAAGTGCCCTTTTGTACCAGTAACTGCACCCTCCCCACCCTGCTGCTAGTGAAAGTCCACCGAATTGACTTCCCAGGAAACCCTCAAGGGGCAGGTAATATTTAATTGGCCCAGTACCCATCGCGATAGCCTCGATAACCTCGACTTCTGGGAATCCTCTAACCCCCTAGTACCCCAACCAAAGGGCCCATTGTCTTGCCCTCCTCTTTCCCCCCTCTTTCCCACAGTTCTGGAGAAGAGCCATAAAATAATAAAACAATTTACTTTCCTGCCACTCCACCTGCCTCGAAGAACTTGACCAGGGCCTGCTTTCCAGGCAGCAGTTAGGGGGTCCCCTTGATCAGAGCCTCCCTCTCCCAAGCCTTGGTGTGCTGCCAGCTCCTCTGGCCCCCTGCAGTTTGCACCATCCCTCCACCCTGTCAAGGAAGAAGACACAGAGCGTCTGGCCATTTCCACACCTGCCATTTATTGGACTCGGCTAGCAGGCTGGCACGGGCTCTTCACATGTCTCAGACCCCGCCCATACAGGTTGAGGACGGTGCCATCATTCTGTGAAGGCCCAGAGCTCGCCTACGTCTTGGAGGCCAAGTTGAATCACCAACCAGAAGGTTGGGAGAGAAACAGGCTGATAGGAAAGGCAAGGCTCTTTGAGGAAGGAGAACGATCTCAGGGGGCAGCTCAGGTCCAGCAGTGTCTCCCGAGGACACTCTGAATCCTAAGGAGAGATACTCAGGGGCTGGATGGAGTAGGAGATCTGTGTGCTGAGCAGCCCGCGTCTATATGGCAACTTTGAGGAGACGCTTGATGTCCGGCTCGATGTTGACGGTTTGGAAGGTGCGGCTGTAGCGCCGGAAAGGCTCCCCCTCCGGCCCGATAAGGAACTTCTCAAAGTTCCAGGACACATCTGAGCGGCGCACTGGGCTCCAAATGATGTACTTGGGATCGGTCATGAGAGAAAATGGGTCATCATAGGGGTAGGGGAGCTTGTCCTTCAGGTAGGCGAAGACAGGATGCTCATTCTGACCATTCACATCACACTTCTGGGCAAGGGTGAAGGTGGGCTGGAATCCACCCCCAGGGCGGACGTACTTGAGACTGTTCAGGATCTCCTCATTCTGACAGTTCTCCTGGGGGAGGAAAAAGACCAAGAGCGTGGAAAAAGGCAGGGGGAATGAAGGGTCCACAAAGCAAACCTTTCACCTTCTAGACTCCTCCCCAGGATCATTCTTTTCTGTGTTACTTTTTTCTTCCCTTCTTCTTTTGCTCTGCCCTACCCTTGACTTGGTGTTTTCCCTCTCACAGCTAGTATGTCTTGCTAGGCCATTTCTGAAAGTTTTTGCAGTTCCCATCTTGGCTGTTCTTCTACTGAGAGACTTAGCATTTTTGAACTATTGTTTCTCTCTCCAATCTACCCTGAGCAGTTCTTAGTGTATCTGTCTGAATCTCAAGGAACCTTAAGTTCAGGGCAATAGAAAGGGAAAGGAGGCTCAGGCCGTACTGCCAAGAACTCTCCTACTTACCTGCCCACACATGCCGACACACGCATCCTGCGACCACCTTGCCCTGCCTGTGCCCTGGCTTTGCCTCTGTTGCTTCTGATTACATGTGAATGTTGAGGCCTTTGCCTTTGCCCTACTCAGCTCCTCAAGCCAAGGGTGAAATTGAGGCCGAGGGGAATGGGTTTGCGCTTCTTGCTTTCATCTGCTTTGTCCTACATCTGAAGTGCAAGTAGGAGGGAGCTTTGCTGAAGGAAGAGTCCCATCCAAGGAAGTCTCGTTTTCAGGTGCCACAAGGCAAAGTGCCTTAGAGACATCAGTGAATGTATTCTAAATGTAACTACTTAGTGACTAACAGGGATGAATTAATAGGATGGAGGGGTTTGTGGGTTAGAGGGTTTAGGGTTCTGGAATAGGCCAGGGGAAGAGGGAGTTAAGGAAATTAAGTGCTTGAGGGCTAAAGGTTGTGAATATGTAACTATCATTCCTTTCATTTCTGGACTGCTATCCCAAGACTCCTGCCCCTCACACTCAGTCTGCTCAGCTGTGAATGCTTTAGCCTGAACCTGTTACTTGTCTTTCCCTCCTGCTGCCATCACCGATCTGTCCCCACTCAGCATTCCCCACCCATGATGTGCCCAAACGACCTAAGGAAACCCTTATTTTCCTCCCCCCTCCAAGTCTAGTAAGAGTCGGGTATCTCCCTCTGGGAGAAAGTCCCTGCTTCTGACCCACTAGGACCAATTAGTACAGTCAGTTCTAGGCCTTCATGACATCTTGAGCCTAGAATCCATCTCTATTAGGCTTCTCCTCTCTAATGCAAATGGCTGTCTGGCTACTGGTAGGTTGTGGACTCCCTCCAGCAACTAGCTAGCTGGGAGTGATGGTGTGAGTCTGGAAGCACCTCCAGGCCAGAGAGACACCTCTGAAGAAATTTGCTTTAGTCCAGCTGGCATGGCTCAGTGGTTGAGCATTGACCTATGAAGCAGGAGGTCACGGGTTTTGTTTGTTTGTTTTTAATATATTTTTATTGATTTCAGAGATGAAGCGAGAGGGAGAGAGAGATAGAAACATCAATGATGAGAGAGAATCATTGATCGGCTGCCTCCTGCATGCCCCCCACTGGGGATCAAGTCGGAAACCTAGGCATGTGCCCTTGACCAGAATCGAACCTGGGATCCTTCAGTCCACAGGCTGACACTCTATCCACTGAGCCAAACCAGCTAGGGTGTGGTCACAGTTTGATTCCTGGTCAGGGCACGTGCCCTAGTTGAGGGCTAGTTCCCCATTGTGAGGCATGCAGGAGGCAGCCAATCAATGACTCTCTCTCATCATAGATGTTTCCATCTCTTTCTCCCTCTCCCTTCCTCTCTGAAATCAATAAAAATATTTTAAAAATAAATAAAATAAAATGAAGAGGTTTTGCCCTTTCTATCTCTCCTGCTTTGGCCAAGCCTAGAAACAGACCGAGACATTTAAGGAACAGTCAGAGCAGTAATGGTGTGGGCTCAGGTTTGTCACAGCCAATGACATTTGTCTTCCTGCATATATCTCTGCTAATCTCTTCCTTCTCTTCATGCCACTATGAATTGAGCTAAGGGGATTATAATGAGAGGGTTCAGTTGAGGACATTCTGCCTGCTTGTGCAGTTAAAACAATACGTGAAAATAGAAGAACCCCTAAAAGATAACTTGAGGTGTGTGGGCTGAAGCTCTGTAACAACTTGACCCATTAATCAGAGACAAAGAGGTGCCTGTGATGCCCGGAGGAGACATAACACCCTTAGCTTTCCCTCAAATTCACTCTCTACTTGGCTGATTTCAAACAAGCAAATAAAAGTCTTCAATCTAAACAGTTAAGTTGCTTGCATTTGCATATTACTTTTGTATACCTTATCCTCGAAGCCTCTCAATAATCCTATGAGATACGTGGTATTTTCCCCAGTTTAGAGATGAGGAAACTAAAACAGAAAGAGTGACTCTTCCTAGGGCACAGAGCCATTAAGTAGCAGAACCAACGCCAGCTAGAACGAAGGTCTCCTGAGTCAGTTCAGTCCTCCTGTGATTTTGATCTTTTTATTTCTCCATTCATTCACTTAGCAAATATTTAATGAGTATCTTCTATATCTGAGGCACTGATAATTCAATAGAGAGAGAAACAGACCTGGTACCAGCCCTCACTGAGCATAGTGGGAAGACAATAAGCAATAAAAAAAATAAAAAAAAATCCACACCCTCGGTCTTTAATCACAGACAGAATCATATGTAAACTTCCCCTTGGTAGTCACATGTACTAAAGACCTACATTGACAAAACATGCTCCCGATTCCAGACACTCCAACACACACAGTCTTTCTCCCCTCCCCTTAGCCTACTAGACAACCCAACCCCTTGTGTGTAATACAAGGGACCCCTCACCTGATGTCCAAATTGATTGCAAGGGAAGCCAAGAACCACCAGGCGCCTGGGAAAGCGGCATTGCAGCTCGTTGAGCTGGGTGTAGTCCCGAGTGGTTGTGCCTCAGAGCGATGCTACGTTCTCAATCAGCACTGCCCTGCCTCGGAATGTATTGAAATCTATCTTCTCCCCATCCAGGCTGATAGCACTGAGGTCGTAGAACGACTTGGCAATGAACGCCATGGTGAAGGTGCAGGGTGAGCCTGGCAGGTGGCGGGAGCCCACTTAAGGATCTATTAAAGGGGTGGGGAGGAGGAGGAGCCTGGAAGGGCAGGAAGGCTCTCACAATGGGGCTTTGAGCATCCTCAGGATGACTTAGCAAAAACCGTCACCCACCTGCAAGGGCTGTTTGAACAAGGAGGTTGCGCCTCCTATTTACAGACTAAACAAAGCCACCTCCCTGCCCTACCCTGCTGGCAACCTGGGAGGGCCAACTTGATATCTATGAACAGACATGAATAATTCACTACTTGCAGGAAACCAGAGCCCCAAAGGTCGCCTTGGAGGAAAAAAGGGAGGGAGGGACCCAGGATTGACTCCTACTTGCCCCAGCAAGTTGTTTCACTGGCGCATACATTTATTGAGGGCCTGCTGAGGGCCAAGTTCTGAACCCTGCAATGGAGAAGTCAGGGTCTGCTGAGATCTGAAATGGGAGGGAGAGAATCGGGGTGCATGTCCCCTTGACTCAGACTAAAGCTGAAATATACATATTACTGTTCAGTTTTCTCTTTGGCTGTTGCTTTCCACTATATCAAAGGAGACCTTGGGGCACAGTGTATGATTTTTATGAAATAACTAGAGACCCTGTGCACTGGTGGGGGGTCCTTTCAGCCCCGCCTGTGCTCCCGCCACTGCTGCTGCACTCGCCAGCCATCAGCTGGCTTGTGGCTGAGCAGCACTCCCCCTGTGGGAGCATCTGCCCCTTGGTGGTGAATGTGTGTCATAGCGACTGGTCATTTCACCATTCAGTCGATTTGCATATTATGCTTTTATTATATAGGATGGCTTTCGGTGCCTCGGCTTGTACCAGGCTGAAGAGATGAAGTTGTGTTTGTCTTGTACAGTCTTCCCGTGAGTGAGGTCACCTGCTCTCAAGAACGTCTGCCCCTGCACTGTGCCATCTCCTACCCTGACTCAGAAAGTCTGGAGGCCTTGCTAGAAATAACTCAGAGATTTATTCCAGGATCTTGGAGTTTGCAAACTGGGAACAGAGCTGGACAAAACCCCAGAAGTGTTCCGAAGAAGAAAGAAAACTTAAACATTCTTATAGTAAAAAGTACATTCTTGAGAAATATCAGTCCTGCTTGCTTAGCCCTAGGATTGGCCCAGAATGTTGTCAGTCAGATGCCAGGCAGTCAGGATGAAGGCTGCCAGGCTGTCAGAAAGATGGGACCAGGAGGTCAGGTCAAGTCCTGGTGGTCTGGATAATGAATGTCAGGTGGATGTATAGGTGGGTCTTTCAGGGGATAATTAGAGGGTCATCTGGAGGCCCAGATGTATATCGAGGCATTGATGCAGGACTAAATAGTTCAAAAAGTGTAAGTTAATGATGCCAGGCTCATTAGAATAAGAATGGAGTATTTCCTCATGCCTCAATTTCCTTAACTTAATAATTTTAGCAGCTTGGTTAAAATGACTTCATTTTATACATTCCCTATCTTTTCTCTTTCTTCACCCCACATCCTGCCCCCATGGGGTTGTGAGGATGCAATCAGCTGTGGCCAGGTAAGGGTGACAGGAGTTGCATAGCAGGTGGGGAAACTCAGAAGGGATGAGCTACACTTACCTCTTCTCAGACCAAGGCTCTGTCCCAAAGACTTTCCCAAGGGCTGTGCTGGTCCCACCCCACCAGAAGGGGAGTCAGGCTGCTGCGGTTCTAGACCCAGCAAGGCCTCCCATGACATTTGCAGCACCAGCCATGTCGGGTATTGCAGGCCACCTGGGGACCTGCTAAGGCTTGTCATGGTGTAAGCACACCCCTGGGAGCCCACAGGAATTAGAAACACCTAACGCTCCACTTCATTCCCCCAAGCACCCACCAACTCAACAAATCACCTGCTTTTTTGATGCCTGGATTTCTCCAGCGGTAAAACTGGCAATTAGGCTTTACCTGGCTTGGGGAGTTTAGAGAGAGATTTCAATAACAATGCAAATGTTTACTAGAGACAGTTTTCTCAGGGACAGGTCCACTGGGAACTGTCTCCTAAGACAAATAAGCGAGGCTGGCAGCAGCCAGGCTTGAGAATCTGATCTGTGAAGATGGAGAATTACTCCGCAGAGGGTGCCCGACTGGTCTGTCTTTTGTAGCCTGTCCCATGGCTGCCGATAGCACGTGGAAACCCACACATCTCAACGGGCTGCTCCCTAGGAACAAGCCTCCATTACCTAAGTGGGCATGGAATCTGGCCAGCAGAAGAGGTAGCAGGAGAGGCTGGGTGGAGTTCCCAGAAGCAGCCCATAAATGTCTCTAGCAAGCCACTGAGTCAGAAGGACTTGGCCTTGACCGTGGGCTAAACTTTAACGTGAACTTGGCAGATTTACGTGCATGCCGAGAGTTCTCCAGTACTCGGGGCTTCCCGACACCTCCTGTGGGCTGCCCTCCTGTGACCTCTCCAGGAAGGCCCGGAAGTTCCTGAGCTGAGGAGTGGTGGCTCCCTCTCCCTCAGGTACAAGCCATTTTTCTCTCTAGGTACAGCTGTTGTGTCACCCAGGTTCTGACCGTTGACAACTGGATTATATTGATAAGGCTCTCCTAAAATTCCTCTTTGTCCAACTTTACCTCAAACCAGCCCGCTTCCCAGAAGCTGGTATCTTTGTGACATACTGAGTGTGCGATTCTCACAGCTTTCCACAGGGACAGCAGTGGTTCTGGTAACTGCGCTGGCGTAGCAGGCAGAAAGCTTAGGCCAGTGGTTCTCAACTCTGGCTGCAAATGAGAATTGCTTATGAAGATTTTTCTAAATAGAGAGGACAAAGCTTTCCCTTCCCGAGATTTCAATTCCATTGTCCCTAGCCACGACTCTGCCACTGTTACTTGGGGCCCCTAGACATCTGTTTCCTTATCTGTTGAACCAGGAAAATCACCCAACTTATCTCACCAGATACGATCAAGTATTACAAGCGCTCTCTCAACTGGAAAGTGCAGGGTAAGATCTTAGACTCTTGCCCTGCCTTGTTTTACTCCTTCCTTCTTCAATTGATCCTCACCCCCATTCTCTGCTTCTTCCATCAACTCTGTACCCCAAAGTATAGGATTCAACAGCCACCACCTCCCAGACCTTCAGGATTCCAGTCTGCCTTGCTCTCCGGGAGTACTCAGTCACAGGGCTAGGATGAACATCTGAAAGATGACTTCGCCCCTCCTCATGCCTTCAGGAAAGCCTGTTCTCATCTGACAGCTGAGAACCTTCTTGGCTTTAAAGACTCCCTCAATGATTCTGCGCAGTCTTACTTCTGCAGTAGAAGCCCATCGCCTGGCAATGGGGACTTTGCTCGGGGCTCCCCTGCAGGTGGCATCAGGAAAGGGGGAGCATGGAAGATGCTGGCCACTCCCATGGTCCTCCTACTGCCATTGTTCTAGGGTTCTGGAGCTTCTCCCACCAGCCCTGCCTCTCCCCTTCACTGCTGGGGGCTGAGCGAGACCTATTCCCAGAAACGCATACAGGCATCCACACCTGTGGTTTGAAATAGTCTTTATTTTGTAAACATCTGTGTTTAAAATAGATGAACCCTGCTCACAATTCATATACTGGACCCGAGACACAGCACACAGAGTTCACCCGTCACAGGGAGATGGGGGTTTAGGAGCAGGTGGAGGGCCAGGGCCGGGGCTGGGCTGAGCCTCAGGACAGCAGGTGCAGAGGTGGGAGGTGTAAGCAGGCAGGAGTGCCTGCCTGTTCAACAGTCTGGGCCTAATGCCAGACCCCAGGCCACCTCCTGGGTTGGAGTAGTGTAGGGGTGGGAGGCCACCTCTGGAACCTGATGAATGTAATGCACCCTAACATCCCAACCGTCCCCCAGCTGTGGCCCTAGAATGGGGCTAATCAGTCCTAGAATCTTGCCTCCTGCTTCCCCTCCCAGAACCCCTGGGGCACAGTTAAAACAACAGTTCCCGTGTCCCAAGGTGCTCAGCCTGTCCCCAGGGAGACCTGCAATACTGGCCCCGGGTTGGAGCCAAGGCGAGTATGACCTCCCCTCTCTGAAGTCTGGGCTGAGGGCACTCTGAGAGCGGACTCTCAGGGCTGAGGTGACCGCCCTCCCACCCCCAGGCGATGCTGCTGGTGTCCTGACACCCGAGGAGCCAGTCTCAGGAAGCATCCCCAGCCAGCTCTCTATTCATTCACTTGCCAACCACTGGCTGCTCCTGCCCTCCTTTCCTTCCACTCTGCTAACCCGTCCCCCTCCCTGCGTCCTGAGTCACCCTGACCTGATACGCCTGGAAGCAAGGGCTAGTGATTTCATGCCCACACCCCATTTTTGGAGTAAGGAAGCGGGGCTCTTAATCCTTCCCGTGGGTGTGCCCTGGATTTTGGGCTTAGTTGGTGAATGCTCAATGCCCAGTTGTTCCTTTTAGCTCCAGGCCCAGCCATGCAATGCAGCTAATGAGTACCTTAGGGATGACTGTGGAAGGGGGGCAGGAGCCCTGGTGCGGCTGGTCACTGACTTGTCCCTTCCTCCAAGGGCCTTCTTCGGGACACTCCTGGGCCATATGGGGTTAAACACCTTCTTCCTGAACTAAGAGCCCTGCAGGAGTCCTGTTCCCGCCACCTGCAGCCACAGTGAGGCTGGCAAACCGCAAGCCTTGCCCTCGGGAGCCAGGGGGGCAAAATGAGCACTTTGTCTGGAAGAAGGAAGAGAACAGCACCGAGCACTTCCTCAGGGCCTGCCTCCCTTCTTCCCATGAAGTCCCCGCTCCTCTCCCACAAACTCTGGGTCTCGTGAAAACCTTGAGCTGAAGGCTGGGGTCAGTGAAGGCCCGCCTCTCACCTGCCAGGGGGTTGTGGGAAATGCTTTCCTCCCACAAGAACTGAAGGGCCCAGGGAGTCCATATTCCCCCCTGGCCTGCTCTCCCTTGCTTGTAACCTGATATATAGGAACTAGCCCTTCAGTTCCCAACGCTCCTCTTTCTGGCTTGTCAATCACTGCCCCGGCTCTCCTCGCCCCTGCAGTGCCCTCAGGCTTTGGTTCAGGTCTTTATCCAGGAGCCCAGGTGGGAGGAATTGTGTACGTGCAGCACGGGAGGTAGAGAACGGAGGTGACGTTTTCTCCCTGCCACTCCTCGTCATTTATTTTCTCCTCTGAAGCACCTGCCTCTGAGCCCAGTTCCCCAAGAGGCAGGCGGGCAGGCAGCCAAGCAAGGCCCAAGCTGGGAGAGGTAGGGCAGCCCCAGGCTGAGGACCAGGTTCCTCCCCACCCGATGTTTCATGTTCCCAGGTCAGTGGTGAGGAGGGCCCGTGGCCCAGGGAGGATGTGGGGAGGGGAGGCGGGAAAGAAGCTCCCCACCTTTGACCCACCCACAGAGCAGGGTGGGGGTTCTCCCAGGAGCTGGAGTCCATCCCCCTGGACAGGGTTAGGAAGAAAGGAAAGAAAGGAGCTGCACCAGCAGCCACAAAGCAGGACGCACAGGGCTCAGGGCGTGGGGGGACAGAGAGAGAAGTGGGAAGAAGAGAGAAAAGCGGACAGGAGACAAGACGCACTGAGAAGGAGCCTCAAAGTGGCCTCAGCCCCAGACGCCGCTGTCTGGGGAGCTGGGGAGCTCGGCGGTGAGCGTGCTCCAGCACATCGGGGCTCATAGCAGGCTGCGGCGGGAACCGGGGGAGAGGCTGGGGCCGCTCAGAGGTGACAGCGGAGCCACCCTCAAGGCCAGGCTGGGGGAGTAGCAGCTACTGATGTTCCACGGGGTCACCCCGATGAGAGGAGAAGCAGGGCAAAGCCCGGGCTCCCTGTCTGCGCAGGCCTCCTGAGGGGAGGGGGGACTTGTGGGTGCTCCATGCAGGGCCCTCAGCACCAGCAGGTTTTTGAAGAGTTCACTGGGCCCTCAGGTCTGCTCTCATCCTCCTCGAGCTCTGCCAATGCCAACTCTTTGCTGGCACGCGTCCGGACACCGTCCAGCTCCTTCCTGTGGGCCTGCAGCACCAGCTCCGTCAGACGTGTGAAAGACTGGGGAAAACCAAGGGGCGCGGGTTAGTCCAATGTTCCGTCCCCTTCTTCCTGCAGCCCTGTAACTGCCTAAGGGGTGAGGCCTCATCTGGTGGCTTCTGTCTGCCACCTTCTCCTCTGGCTTCCCCACTGCAGACTCAGCCAGGGACCGGCAGCTGGGCCTGGGAGTCCTCACCTCTTTAATGTTGAGGTTGGTGCAGGCACTTGTTTCGTAGAAGTCCATGCCGTACTCCTTGGCCAGCTGCAAGAGAGGACATTCCTGAGAGGGAGTCAGGGAGGGAAGAAAGGCGCCCACAGCACCTGCAGGTACTTCTGCCATTGCCCTCACAACCCATCCTGAGTTGTGACAATTTCTCAGAGGAGGGGACTTCTCAGATGAGGCTAAGAGCTCCTTCTAAGACCCAGGCTAGCACCGACACAGATGCACCCAACAGATGCCAAAATGTTGTGGCAGTACAGCACATAATGAACAACATGGGCTTTGGAGGCAAAGGGACCTAAACTTGAATATCAGTGCTGCCACTTAACAGCTGTATGCCCTTATTCAGCTGTATGACAAGATACTTATTCTCTCTCAGCCCCAGCTCTGCCATCTGTTAAAGGGCGATGGATGACAGTGTCTGTTAACCAAGGTTGTGGAATGATTAAATGAGGTCATGCATCTCCAAGCACTTGCTTAGCATATGCAGGGCTCAATAAATACTATTATTCCAGCAGGGTCTGCTTCTACTTTCAGATTCTTCAATAACTAGGCATTATTATTATTTTTTAAATATATTTTTATCAATTTTAGAGAGGAGGGAGAGAGAGAAACATCAGTGATGAGAGAATCGTTAATCGACTGCCTCCTGCACGCCCCACACTGGGGATTGAGCCCGCAACCCAGGCATGTGTCCTTGACCGGAATCAAACCTGGGACCCTTCAGTCCACAGACTGACGCTCAGTGGATGGGTGACTTGTCTCAGTGGCATCTGTCTGTCTTTCTGTCCTCTGTGTGCTTGGGCATCCCCTCAGCACCATCCTCCTACCCTCCTTGCCCCCAGGGCCTCTCTGACTATGGGCCCTTCATTCCACATGTCCCTTCCTACCTCCTTCCAGTGTAAGGGTAGGGAGGGGGTGAGGAGGGGTGGAGGACTGAAGACGGCAGCTATGCCTGGTGCTGTTAGAGAACAAGCCATCACCTTGAGGTCCTTCCTCACCACTAGCACTGGAATGAGGTCTTCAGCAGAGGTCATCTTACTCTGGGGGACTTGGAGTTGGGAGAGTTGCTTCCCAATAGGTCTTTGCATCAGGGTGGACCCCAAATCACTGTCCCGAAGGGCAGAAAGCCAGCTCTCAAGGATGGCCGCTCACCCAGAGCCTTGGCCTATCGTGGGAGGTATGAGGTGCCTGATGGGGGTGACAGAATCCTGGGTCACAGCTCTCAGGACTGGCCTGGAAGGTAGCAGAGAACCCCAGGGATGGATGCAGCCAGCTCACTGCCACATACCTGCTGCCCTTGCTCTCTTCCCACCTGCCGCTTCTGCTCTTCATCGGCCTTATTCCCTATAAGGATCTTCTGGACACCTTCGGGCGCGTACTAGGGACAGAGGACAGGCAGGGCCTCCAGTGAGTGTGCCTCCCTCCCACCTCCCCACACACGTCTACACCGGCCTCCACAGCAGCACCAAACTTCAGAGCCCTGGGACAGAGTGGCCGACTGGGTGCAGCTGCCGGGCTCCCCCAAGAACCATGGGTGACCACGGTGTCCTGGGGACAGTCTGAATAGGAAACATGGGCTGATTCTGAGGGGCTCTCACCCCCGCCCCAGCCTAAATGAGGGAGTGCTTCCTTAGACTGCACAACTGGTACCTAAGTTGGAAAGGACACTGGACGTAAGCCCAACCCCTCCTTCTACAGATAAGGAACTGTGGACGCAAGAAAGTTCAAATGGCTTGCCCAAGGCCCCACAGCTACCATGGCAGAGCCAGGACTAGAATCCGCCCTGGCCCTGAGATTCCAGGGAAGAAGCTGTTCACAGGGTAACTCACTTCTGGGCAGCCTGGCAGGGTACAGAGCACGGAGGGCATGGCAGCTTGGGCTTCTCCCTATAGAGGACTTACCCAGAGGTCTTCATCCCGGGCTGTGGAGGGCAAGCTTTCCTGGCAGCGTTTGCTCGCCAACCCCGAGAGCTTCGGCCTTTCCCATCTGGCCCTCCCTTCGCCTTCCCCTCTGAGGTGCCCTCCCCTACTCCAGTGGTGAGGTGGCATCTCCTACCTCATCCACATCACTGACCCACTTCATGATGTGCTGGTAAGAGCGCTCGCTGCTAATGTCGTAGACTAAAAATATTCCCTGGGGGAGAGAGCAACAGAGAGGGGGGGAGGGGGGTGTGCACAGGCATGGGGCCAGAAGCCGTGTGGTGCCTTAAATGCTGGGTCCCACTCTCCCTGCTCTCTGCTTAGCATAATAAGGACCCCTTAGCACCCAGATATATCTTCTTCTGTCTCAGACCCCCAAAGCTATTGCTTCCTAGGCCCACCACAAAACTCTCTGAGGTAGAAAGCCACCAAACACTTGGACCTGGGTCTTTAGCCCAGGATGGATGGAGGGTGAGTGTGGGGGACCTGCCTATAGTGAGTGCTCAGAGAATCACTGATGAATGAACGGTCCATGAACAATTCAAAGACCACCTAGGGGCTCCCCTCCCCAGCAGGCAATCCAAGGGCCCTATTTTGGGGGCGAGTGGCACAGATATCTCAAGTACCCAGAGCCGGGAGTGTGGGTGGCAGCATCCCACCTCTGAACCCTAAAAATGGTGGCTCACCTGGGCCCGTCGATAGTACTGCTTTGTGATGGTCTGATATCTCTCCTGCCCCGCTGTGTCCCTGCAGTAGAAAGCCAGTCCCTCAGAAGAGCGGGGACCGTAGAAGCAGGAGAGAAGGGAGGAGCAGGAGCTGAGAGACCCTGTGCCTATGAAGGAAAGACTGGGGAGCTGTAGGGTGAAAATTAATGGGGCTCTGGTCCCTCAGGGGATCTGAGCATACCTGAGTCTGCAGGAGAGGTGCCTGGCCATCTGGTGCTGACAGGGGTAGTGGGCCTTGTTCACTACATCTGCACCAGAAGCCACAACAATTCTCTCTAGAACTTGGTCACTGTGGCCGGACTGGATGGACTGCTCCACCTCCAGATCCTCTGAAGGCAATGCCCAAACCACTCCGAGTTGGGAGGCAGCTGGCAAAGGCAGTGAGTGTGGCCAGGAGTGGAGGCCAGAGCCACAGCGGCCCCCTGTGGCTACTTGTGGGAACTGCACCACGCTGCACTGAGGCCCTCTCACCAGCATCCCACCCTACTAGGCGGGGTATAGCCCTTCCTCCTACCAATTCTACCATGAGGTGGCACAGCCCAAGGACAAAGCCTTATTCTCAGGCAAACCCACAGTGGTTAACTTGTCAATTACTCTAATTTCTGCCTTTTGGTGACTTGTGGTCAATCCCATAGTTTCTTCAGGATGAGATCAAAGATTAAGGCTCCTGGGAGCAGGAGATGGGCTTTGAGACTTCCGTTTCTCTCCAGGGAACAGTGGCCAGTTGACCCAGATGAAGCCTCAGGATTTTGTGTGTGGCAGTGGCAGCTCAGGAGCAGCCCGAGGTCCTCTCCTCCCACCCAACTCACCAAATCTGTATGCGCACTTTGATGCCATCCACCTCTATGGTCTTCATCTTGAAGTCGACACCTGGGGAGAGGAAGAGAGCGAGAGGTAGGAAATGAGAGCCCACCTCGACCTGAACGGGAAGGCCGGGTGCTCGCACTTGAAGGGAGCTCCTTTGGTTTAACTTGGCAGAAAGATGGCATGATGTGAGGGCCTTCTATAGATATAACTGATTTCAGAGACAGAATCATTGATAGGCTGCCTCCTGCACACCCCCTACTGGGGACTGAGCCCACAACCTGAGCATGTGCCCTGACTGGGAATCAAACCATAACTTCCTGGTTCATAGGTCGATGCTCAACCACTGAGCCACACCGGCCCAGGCAGTAAGGGCCTTCTTGAACCAAAAACTGACCCCAAGGAAGTTTCCTGTGCTCTGAATGGTGCTCTCCTTCCTCCTTGAGCTGAAAGTTGTCAGCAGTAAAGAGCCTGAGGTACAGGAAGTGAATGAAGGATCAGAGGGGGATCCACTCCATCGCTGCCTCGGCCCCAAACGTGTCTCACTCACTCATGTGTGACGTCTGGGAAGGCTACTTCCTACAAACAGCGATCCACCTCATGGGCCTGGGTTTTTCTCTCTCTGCCTTATTAACAATCGGGAGGGGCTATGGTGCCGTCCTGAACGTGGGGAAGGTGCATGGAGCCCGGAGAGAGGACTGCTTCCCACCACGGTGTGTATGAAGCCCTTGGCACCCAGCAAAGGGCCACCAAGGAGAAGGCCTGGGGAACCTGCTGTTGACTAACTGGCTTGCTGTGGGAGGTGCTGTGGTTTGCTGGGAGCCTGGGCGTTGACGTCTGGCCTGAGCTTGAATTCTGACTCTGGCCACTAAATTCATAGCCAGGACTCTGGGCACCTTGCTTCTCTGAGCCTCCATTTCCTCATCTGTAAAATGGGGCTATTACCAGTCATTCCAGTGGGTCCCTGAAGAGAACAAGTGACACAGAGTCCCAGGCACCTGGTGGCTAGTCAGCCGCCTGCAGCGATCACCATGCCCTAGTACGGTCCTGGTCACAGTGGGGGCCCGGGAGTGGCTGCCAAGGACCGGATGAAGAGGCAGTGGCACAGCGTCTCGTTGGGGCGGGAGAGGAAGACAAACGGGTCTCGGGCTGGAGGGGCTAAGCTGCCACAGGACACGGGACACGCAGTGATCTGGCGAACCAGCCCAGGGCAGAAACGTATTTCAGGGAATTTGCAGCAAGAGAAGTCAGCACCACCAGCAGCACAGGGGCTTGAATCTGAGTGATGACAGGGAGATGAGCCGATAGGTTTTTATCACGGCGCCTCTCCCAGCTCTGACTGTGCCCAGTGAGTCAAAACTGTGTCTAGTAGGTTAATTAAGCTTAAGTCTCCATGTACTCCCTGGAGACAAGTCAGGAATGGGCATCGTTAACGAGTTTGCAGGTGGAGAGCATGGGAAAGGCAGAGTTCTGGACCGTAGTCCCCAGGCTGCACAGCACAGCACAGCACAGCCCCGAGCTAGAACTCCCCACATGGCTGCCAACCCACCTGGGCATCAGTTCCTTGCCAACCGGAATACTTCTGCCCTTAGCCATCCTGTCCCCAGCTTTCCACAAATTCAGACAGATGAAGTTCAGGCTCTTCCCTCTCACCACCGAGACGAGTAATCATTTAATGAGAGGGAGAAAGGGTTCAGAACGAACAACCTGAACTGAATAGAATTGGTCAGACGTGAATCATTTTGCCTGCCCACGCCGATGCCTATCTATGGAGCTGTACTTTTCCAATGGACAGTGCCTGCAGCCATTCTTCCGGGTGTGCGGAGAGGTGAAGAGAGGAGGGCGAAATGGGGAGGGGGCACCTGGCCTTGGTGGGGGCAGGAGTATGCTCACGCCCTCCCTAGACAAACAGCTGTCAAGAATTTGCCTCTCCCCAGTACCTGGCATAGCAGGGAATAAAGAAGTTCTTGTTTTTCTTCATGCTACAGTGCCTTCTTCCCGGGGGAGGAGGGGACCAGCAATTTTGTTCACATTATAGTAAACCCAGCTCATCCTCATACTGGCCGAGCAAGTCTAGTGCAGCGTCTCGTGCAAAGTGGTCACAAGGGGGCTGCAAAGCGCAGCTCCAAAGACCCCGAAGGTGCGGGCCGGGGTAGAAGGTTCTACATCCTTTATTCCACAAACTCTATGGGAACTGACTGTGTACCCTGCATGGTGTTCAGTGCAGAGTGGCAAAAACGACACATGCTCCCTGCCCTCTCAGAGCTTAGTGGGAAGGAAGCAAAGGCCCCGGGGGTGAGCTAACAGCCCAAGGACAGCACAGCCAGGGCAGAGCCTGCCGAGGCCCACAGCCCATGCACCACGTGCCTTGAAGGAATGATGGAGAGTTGTATGCTAAGTAGGCATAGAGGCCTTCGCCACACTTGGTGTCCCTGTTTCTCGGAAGGTCCTTGAGAAGGGCTGAGCTGGGCGAGGAGATCCCAGCACCAGGGGACCCCCCTGAGGACAAGCGCAGGCTGTTGGAAGAGGCAGGGAGGACGAGAAAGTGCCCGGCTACCCTGGGAGTGAGCGCTGGGCTTGGACTCCCTGGCCCCTCTTCCCTCCCTTCTTAGCTGTGTGGCCAGGAACTCTAGGGCTCATAGCACCCCACCACTTGTGACCTTGGCCCTCCTGACCACCCAATAAACTTTGTTTTAACGTCTCAGAGAAGCCAAATGCTTCCGTTCTGTCTCTTCATAAGCACTAAGGGAGAAACACAGAAAGCCTATGCCTTCGGTGGGGGGGATTTTCCTCTCCCCACCCACGCCTCTCTTTTCATAAATTTAAAGATGAACAGCCCACGATCCTCAGGGGAATCTGTTCCTTCTACTCTACTCCCCCACACCCCGCACCTTCCGCTGGGTCCACCTGCCAGCCAACCCCTGGCCCTCCACGACCTGTGCCCAGCCATGGCCCCTGCCGTCTCCTTGAGTGGCTGCTGGCTTTTTCCATTGCTGAGCACGGCGGGCAGTCAAAACACTGGCCTTGTTTAGTCGCCTGCAGACTCATGCTTTGTCACCTCAGCTGGGCCCTCGCGGCTGCTCAGCAAACTGTTTAATCGATGTGTGTTCACCGCTCACATTCCTCACAGCCACTGTCCTCCCCGATGAAGGCTTCCGTCCCGTGCGTCCCCTCCCCTCCGCTGAAGGCCTTCCAGAGAATACCGGGGCCTGTCCGAGGGCAAAGCGACGCTGCCTGAGGGCGCCTTGGCTCTGAGGCCCACCTCCCTCCGAATTTCCTCTTTTCTCCACCCTCCCTGGGGGAGCCCTCTCTCCTTCCCACGTTTCCCCCGCAGCTGTCCGCGCCAGCCCCCTCTGGGTCATACCCTAACAGGTTCGCCCCTCTCAGCTGCATCCTCAGAATCTACACCCACCCACCCCCATGGGTTCTCATCCTGGCTCCCCGAGGCAGCACTTCTCAGACTTCCAGGGGCACGCAGGCCCGGGGGAGACGCAGACTCGGATCCGGTAGGTGGTAGATGAGGCCCGAGATGCTGCATCGAGGCTCCAGGGGAGGGTGACGCTGCTGGTCCATGGATCACACGTCTGACAGCAGCTTTGGGGACAGCGGTTCTGCAAACGTGGACCCCGGACCTGCAGCCTCAGCATCAGGCAGCACACGAAGTTTGAGAAGCACCGTCTCGCCCATCTCTAGGCAGAAGCACAGCCCAGGCTCGTTACCCGTACTTACAACGACAGCACACCCCCTGGCGAGGGGATCCAGAACCCTCAGTTCTTCCGCCAGCCCCAGGAGGCAGGTGGGGGTGGAGATAATCATCGTGAGACACGGAGAGGCCGAGTAACTGACTCACTCATGTTCCCACATCATATGGCTGAGCCAGAACTGGACGCCTGTCTCTCTAAAACCTACCCGGGGTACTCCTCACCCGACCAGTGGCTTCCCGACTCGACTCTCCGAGGCTGTGGAGCCTTTGCTGCCACGCCCCAGGGCCCCGCACCTGCTCTGGTGTTACGAGGCGTCTGGAAGTGAAGCAGTGGGCGCACAGGGGCAAGCCCGCCACAGCCTGCTTTCAGGGAACCCTTGCTCCTTGAGAGTGCATGACCCCACCACGCCAGGAGCATCACCTGGACAGGGCCACCTCGGTGCCCCTACAGAGCGCCTGTTTCCTGCCCAGGGACGGGGACGGGACGGCTCAGGTGCGAAGAAACTAGCAAACCACCCGGCACAGCTCCCGCAGAGGTTCCTAGAAACCCTGGAGCTCGGGGAGGAGAGTCAGGAAGATGGAGCCCCTCCCAGCCACATGCCGAGGGCATGGCGAGCAGCTCACCGTTCTGCCCGCACTCAGATATGTTAACTGTGGTGTCTGCCCCACCCAGTGCCCTTTTCTGGCTGGAACTGCCCAGCCCACGGCCTCTGCTCAGCGTGTTCTTTGCAGAAAAGCAGCTCCTGACTGGACCAGGGTGGATATCTGACCAAAAGGAGGCCCATCGATGGGCTTGCTGGTGACCTCCGAGGTGACCTGGTGGAGAGGGACCAGGGGAGCTAGCTAAGCCGATCAAACAGCTCCCTCCAGACGGTGCAGAGGGGACTGGCCAGTGGTAACGAGAGGAGCATGGGGCAGACAGATGGGCAGAGAGGCCGATGCCTAAGGCAGGAGTGTGCTGGCCGGAGTGAGGCTCAGGGCGCTATGTCCCACCACAGCCGCCAGGCCACGCCAGACCCCACCTTCCAGCCTCATAACGCACCCCATTTTCTTAGCACCTCAGGATACCTCAAGAGTCACAGCCTGTGACTGTCCGCTGCTACCTAATGGCCCCCCTACCCCCCTTCACCACTCCCCCCCGGCTGGCAGGTAGACATTGCAAGTGAGGGGCTGGGAGAAGACTTCTAAGACGGTGTGACCTGCTCCCTGCTGCCTCCAATGTTTGTGTCTTCTAGCCCCAACTAGCGCCTAAGGGGCAGATAATATACTTTGTATTTGACAGAGGTTTTTGTTTGTTTTTAAAACCTCTGCCCCCATGCAGTGCGGGGCATCGAGTAGTGTAAGGAGGGACGGGTGTCCATGGCTCAAGAGCAGGGGCGTGTGTCCTGCCCTCTGAACGCTTCACAGACACTAGCAAGAAAAACCCAGTTAAGGATAGTGCCAGGCCCTGACGCACCGTCGCCTCCGGCTCTTCCTGCTGTGTCCCTGGCTGCGAGGCCTCTGCCCCTCCAGCAACCCCAGCAGCTGCCAGGCCATAGCCGGAGGCCTGGAGCAGTGAGAGCTACTGTTGGAGAGCTGGGGGGACAGGTGAGGCCCTCCTCAGGCCCAGGGGGCGGGTCAGGTCAGTGGGACAGGGCAGGGGATAGGCACAGCGCTCACTTGGCTCCTAAGATAGAGCAGTAAACCAAGGCTGAGCTTACTGCCTCCCCAGTCCGGCAGAGGAGACTGTGGAGAGAAGGGGACAGGGCACCCCCAGGGGGAAGGACACGCCCCACCATCACTGTCTCTCTCCACGGACAGCCCTGAAGCATGGAGGCAGTCTGGCTGGAAAACCGCACGGTGTGGGCACTCAGAACCCAGGTGTGAGGCCAGAGTTTGCTTCCAAACCTGCCCTTACCTGTGTGGTGTTGGGAAAGCTACAGAACCTCTTTGGTTCCGTTTCCTCACCTACAACATGGGGTGACAACCCCTGATGTGGGAGTTTTTGTGAGGATTAGGAGATAAGGAGTAGCACCCGTCACGTGGGGTGAGCACACGGAGCTTTGTTAAATGTTAGCTGAAGAAGCTACCAGCTCCCTCGGGGGATGAGACTTGGGAGCCCAGGGGACTGGGAAGAGCTCTGGGAAGCAGGAGGGCTCACGCTGGGCAGCAGAGGCAGAGAGGCGAGGGGAAGAGCCAGCACTGAGCTGGAGCGGTTTCACAAAAAGAAAATGCCACTCACCGTGGAGCCCGAGGGCCCCCAGAACCCGGCTGCGACCTGACATCTGGAAAAGCGGGGGGTGCCTGTTGGTGGGCCAGCACCTCACGGGTTAATGTCAGGTGCCAGCCTGCCTGCTGCCAAGTGCCACATGCTTCAAGTGGAAACGGGGCTCTTCGGGGTGCCAAATGTTATCACCGTGATCAACCGCAGCCCAAAGGACCAGCAGCGTGACCTGAGCCTTTTCAGGAGCAATGAGACGCCACAGCAGGAACAACTTAATACCCCTGAAACCCAAGGCCGACACCCAATCCCTGGAGCCGTGTTGGCTCCAGTTACCAAGCCCAGGTCCCAGGAAGGCCCCCAAACCAGCATGCGCTGGACAAGAGGGGTTCACGTGGGTGTGACAGGAGGTCTCCGAAGAGCAACCCCAAGACAAATGTAGGGATGGGCAGACGCTGACTTTGCCACCCCAGACAAAGCATCGGAGTAATCCCCACTTCAGAACCCCCTTCTCTCAGCCAGAGAGACCAATGGCACTCGGAGACCCATGTCGCCATTTCCCCCAAGGAGGTAAAGAGCGGGAGAGCTAAGAGCTAAGACTCAAGAGAAGATTTAAGACAAAGGCTCCTGGCACACCACCGTCCCTCATACCATTAGGTGGGGGGCTAAGGGAGAGCGTCTTTGCCCCGGACCTGCCACTTGCTGTATCCTCTTCCTTCCTTCTCTCTGGGGACCTTAGCCTCAGTGTCCAGGGACTACATGCCCACTGACCTCCTCCTCTTACCCATTTGCAGACTGACGACCCCTCATGGCGGCCTCCTCCCTGCTCTGAGCACATGCCCAGCCAGCCTTCACCCCATCTTGCTCTGGGAGTGATGGGAAGCAGAAACCAAGAGGCCCTGGTCTTTGGCAGACAGACTCCTGATCTTCTAATGCTAAGGCCATGTTTTAACCTCCAGGGCACTGGGGTCAATGGTCTGATGAGGACGCCCACCCACGAGAAAGACTGGAGATTTCAGAAGAATACTCGTCCTTTTGTCAACATACACCCTCACAACCTCAACAGGGAAGGTGGTTTGGAGTCTAGGACAACTCTAGAGGCTACCACCTTCACATCAATCGTCACAGGCCAGTCTTTAGAATCCCAGGAACCCAGGGTTGTTGTGGGGTTTTTTTGTTTTTGTTTTTTGTTTTTTTTTCATCAGGCAGAAGGGTTTCCCAAACAAGCTCAGACTCCCAAGATGCTGGGAGGAACACATTTCCCCAGAACCTGAGCCCTAGGAGCTCCCTACTCCAGAGCCCCAGCCATGAGGTGGTCCTGAGAGATCACTCCAGCAGCCTGGTGAGTGGATGGGCTTCATCTGACACCAGCAGTGACCCTGAGCGACAGGCAAAACTGACCTTAGTCTAAGATACAACCCCTCCTCTCTTCACACACCTATGAGGACCCCCTCATATAGGGATTGCGGGAGCATGTTCTTGCTCCTTCCTACACCTGAGCTGCTCCTAGGACGTGTATCTGAGCAGAAGAGCTATAAGCTACTGGAAACAGTTCACCCCTACAGTACTCCACCCACCTCCCACACACACCCCCGCTCTCCCCACAGTCTCAAACACGTGTAGCAGAGTGAGTCTCTTAACTGTCTTAAGAGTCCCAATTAACCAATGCTGTTTGAGACTTCCTTCAGGGAAGAGCAAAAGTCCTCTAAGAAAACTCATTTATTTATTCATTCGAACAAACTGCTACTGAGCACCTACGATGTGCCCAAAACTAAGCTCAGAAGACACAACAGTGAATAATACAGGAAGATCCTTGTCCTCAGAGAGCTTCTATTTGTGTGAGGAAGACAGATAATACATAAGTAAACTAACACATCATTTCAGGGAATGGTGTGTTCAGAGGCAAAAGCAGAATCATGGAGTAGACAGTGAAGAGATCTGTGTGCAAGCTGCTTCCGACTAGCTGGTCAGAGAAGACCTTTGAAAGCAGGTGACATTTGAGCTAAGAGCTGAATGGCAGGAAGGTGCCAGCAGGGAGACGATCTAAAGCAACGGTCACCAACCTTTCAGACCTCGTGGACCACCAGTGGTGCGGAGACCACCGGTTGGCGACTGCTGATCTAAAGAATCAGGGTCCCATTCAGGGGAAGCAGCAAATACCCATCAGACAGGCACACATGTCAGTCAAACTTACAGCTCCTCAGGGAGGAAAGGAAGAGGGACCAACATGATTCCCTCCATTGTTATAAAAAGAAAAAGACACGGCAAAGCCTCC